ATCTGCCGCGCCCATGCGTCTACCCGAGTGGCATATGCCAGTGGATTCGTGGGACGATGGCCTTTCAAACCACCGGCAGGTCCATCAAGCAGTGAATCTGGTCTCGTCAAGTCTCACGGCATAAAGCGAATAACCGTGTAAAAGTGCTCTTTCGAGATTGTAGATTGTGACAGTGAAGGGCTGCGCTTTGTTCGAAAGAAAGTGAACAAGATCCTTGTCTAGACAGCGCCTCGTATTCGCAGCCGAACAGAAATCTCCAATGCCAAGGCTCTGCAGGATCGACATCACATCTTTACCCAGCGTGTAGATGCCCAACTTCACCACACTCACCGTCTATCATCATCCTCGATTGGATCTAAAGCGCGGCTGTCATCTAGCAACTTCTCTTCGGCTACTCGCAGGGCCGCATTCACTAGCCTGTTTGCCTACGACTCACTTTGCAGCTCACTTCTCCTTCACTCTCTGCGAGTACCCTGCCGTAGTGACCCCGCGCCACGATCATTGTTGACCTTCGTCTTTTGATGCGCGTCTCGACAGATCAAAGTCCCACTGATCGTATTTAAGAGGCCTGTCTGCTGGCACTTCTTCCATCCTCGCCCTCCTCATCCCAAAACATCAACAACTTCTTCAACTTTGCCAGAGCAGCATCTTCTCTCCACAACCACATCGGACATCTTCAAATACTCTGGTAAGTGTCATCTACACCCTGCAGCTTTTGCTCAGATCACCACCTCGCCTACTTCATCAGAAATCACCTGTGTTGCGAGACCAACGCGTCGCGACACGTCCAGTCCGCCCAAGGCAGCCCATAGCAACACAGCTTGGACTTGGCTTTCAGGAGGTCTTGCGACTTTCATTCCCAACTTCTACATCTGCCCAAATCTTGACATTGGACATCCACATCTCCCTTCTCATTCCACCTCATCATCAAGCTCGCATCACATCGCATCTCAAAAAGCAGCCGTCACTGACAACCAGCTCAGCTTTCCTCTACCACATCAAACATCACCGCTCAGCTTGTCGCAGCAATGTCTCTCAAGCTCTTCCTCCTCGCCATGATGGCGCTCCTCTGCGGCCTCGTCCTCGCCGACGAGGCCCTCGACCTCCCCACCGGCCTCGGCCATCCGGGTGTCCCCGTCTACGAGGATAACCAGGTCAAGTAAGTCTTCATATTCCTCTCTACTCTACATAGTCCGTTTTCACAGCGTCCGCTAACCTCCCCATGTTCATCATCACAGGCCCTTCACCACCACCTACTCCACCACCTACACCGAGGTCTCCTTCATCTTCACCGGCCTGCCCGACACCCTGACCGTCTACTCGACGGTCCCCGTCACCGTCACCGAGGTCGAGACCCGCACCTTCTGGCCCAAGGGCGTCGCCGGCCGCGCCGACCGCGACTACCAGGACGGCGTCTACGACTGCACCATCCCCGGCTCCGTCGACGCGCCCGTCGCCACGCCGTCCCCGGAGCCGGTCGTGCTGCCCCCGCCGGGCTCGAGCCCGTCCACGACCACGCCCGCCGCTCTGCTGCCGCCCCACACCAGCTTCCAGGTGACCTCCCTGCCGACAACCACCGAGTCCACCACCGCCACCCAGCAGACCACGCGCACCGAGACCACCAACGTCGGCAACGGCTCCACGACCGTGAGCTTCGTCGCCTCGGGCACCCACCCGTCGTCGTCGTCGTCGTCGTCGTCGTCCTCGGAGGGCGTCCCGACTTCGAGCCCCGTCGGCACGGGTACCGAGCCGTCCGCCGGCACGGGTACCGAGACCAGCACCGGCTCGCAGACCCCGTCTGCCCCGCCCGCCAGCGGTGCTGACAAGGCTGGCGCCTCTGTGCTCGGCCTCGTTGGCGCTGGAGCTCTGGCCCTCGCCGTGGCGATCTAGATTGCCTGAGATGGTTGGGAGTGTGGGTGGCGCTGTCTTCTGAGCTTCATTCTTCTGTTGCTTGGGATTGATGGGTCATTCGTGCAGACCAGGAGTCTCTACTTCTTTGTACTTTATTCTACTGAGATCGGGATTACACAAAAAAATATGGCTTTTGACCATAAGGGGTTACGGAAGGGTTTGCGAATAGGGAATTGATGAATTAGATAGCATTCCGTCTTGCTCGTGTGTGATGCTGTGACTTGGTGACCGATGTTTGCCTATCATACCGATTTTGGATCGATGTCATCTTGCCAGTACCGAGGTTCTCTCTCAACCATCTCCTCGCACTTGCAGTTGAACAGAACCGTGCCTATCAGGCGGAGAGAGATCTCTGCGCGGCAACGAACTCTTCCCCTTCCCTTGATCTAGCACACCATACAACGCAACGGGCATTGCAGGGCGCCGACTCTGATGGATAGTATTCACGGCAGTTGCATACGTCAGAAAAAAGTGATACTCTTTCAATCATTATCATTGGGAACAAGATACACATTTGCTGCAAAGCTTCTACGGACAAGGTATGTGTCTCGACTGGCCTTGAATGCGCCCTCGATGCATGCCACCTGACAAAGCAAAGCGCTGCTCATGAACAGAACAATTACACCGGCTGGGAGTGGGCGAATTTCCTGCAGCTTCATATGCACCGATACATGTGACAATCTTCTGCTGTGGTGACTCGCGAGATCCCTGGGGGCCATGAAGCATGTAATAAAGAAGCAAGCTATCGTTGGCTGAGCACGATTTGCCTACGTCAGTTTTGACACTTGTACGAGGTGAATGACCGCCACTCGCAACTTGTGCCACATGCCTTCATACCTTCCAAGTCATCAGTATGCCCAATGGCTGGAATTCTTTGTCCGGCTTTGTGTCCCGAGATGCGGGAAGGGACGCGCTACCGGCAATGGTGGACGTCATCGAATTAGCGCCCAGGCGTCGTCGGGCTGGGAGGAGGCCGAAATGGGTTGGCCCGGCCGGACCTTACAAGTGTCCGAGATGGCGCGCCCCCCGGGCTTGCCCTCCGGACAAGCCAGTCCTGCAAGCAAGTATTAAAAGCTTGACGTGTCTATTAGACCCTTGGATGAAGCCTCCCGTTCTTGGCGATCTTATCAAGTATCATCATGTCGTCCCAATTTGTCCAGAAACACCCGCTCGCCCAGAAGCGCATCATCGTCACGGGAGCTGGCATCGCCGGCCTGGCTTTCGCCCGCGCTCTACACCTGAACTGGCCTCGAGAGCACCCCAGGCCAGATGTCGTCTTGTACGAGCGGTCGGCTGAGGTCCTCGACCGCGCCCACGAGGGTTATACCATGGGCATTCAGAGAGGCTCGGGGCTGCTAGCGTTGCGAGAGATTGGACTGCTCGATGCCGCGCTGGAGTCGCGCACTACTGGATCAGATGGATCCCAGGAGCCTGTGACCATCTGGACAAAAGACTGGACGGAGCTGTACAAGATGCCTCCAGCAGCTCCCACCAAGGGCGACATGCCTCCCAGGGGTGTCCGCCTCGTGCGGCATGCGCTGCGCCAGATCTTGTTGGACGGCCTCCCAGAGGAGACTGTTGTCCACTGGGAGAATGCCTGCGAATGGGTCAAGACTAGAGAGGACGGCAAGGTCGAGATCGGGCTGAGCGACGGCTCGACGGACGAGTGCGATCTCCTCATCGCGGCGGACGGTGCGAACAGCAAAGTGCGAGAATGCCTGCTCCCCGACGAGACGCTGCAGTTCGCCGGTGCCAGGCTCTACTCAGGCACCTCTAAATTTCCTCTGGGCAAACCCGACGCCTTGAAGACGTCTTGGGGGTTCAACGTCAGCGGCGAGGGCTACGGGTTCCTGACCTTCCCCATCGACAGCACGACCGGCGCGTGGGCCCTGACGCACCGCAGCGCCGAGCCGAAGGGGCGGATCCGCGGGGACGAGGCCGCCCGGCGCTACGACGAGATCATGGGCGACGTCCGGCGGCTGGGCGGCATGTTCGACGAGCCCTTCGCCCAAGTCGTCGAGGCGACGGACCCCGTCACGCTGTCCGTCTTCGATGCCATGCACAGGCCGCCCGTCCGGCACGCGCGCCAGCTCGCCGGCGGCGCCAACGCCATCCTCATCGGCGACGCGAACCACGCCATGAGCCCCTTCTCCGGCAGCGGGGCCAACATGGCGCTCATGGACGCCGTGGCGCTGGCGGGGCAGCTGGCGCGCTGCGCGGACCTCCGGGCCGCGATCGACGCCTTCGACGCCGAGAGCGCGCCCCGGTCGCAGAAGGCGATCGATTTCTCGTGGTGGGTGATCCGCGGTATACATGCCCGGGGGGTCGTTTTCTGGCTCGTCCGCGCCGTCTGCGCTGTGATGAGTGTGTTCGCCGGGCGAACGGATGCGAGGCAGACGAAGGAGTGAGAGTTTCTTGGAGATGGATGGGCCTATGACAACCGTGGATTTGGTGCTAATTATGTTGGACGATTGATTAGAAGGGAAGGGCAATGTCACCTTGAATTATTGCCTAGTTATTGAATCCAATAGTGTATGCTGAGATAGAAATGACTATTAGAAACGAAACCTGTTCATCAATCCCTCAGAAGACCTGTTTCCATAAACGGGGGCGAGAGATGCATAATAAACCACCATGATGATGTATTCTTTGTTGAACAGTAGAGTAGAACTTTTCGATACCCCCAAAGCTAGTGTTCTGATCCAATCGCCGTATCCCGTCCTCGTTATGAACTCAAAAGACAGACAATTCGCCAGCCCAAAGTCCAATCATGACTCCATGCCGCGCTCGAGCCTATCACACCGTCTGAGCTCTTTCGTATCGGCCGCGTTTGGTGGTCTAGATTATGAGAATTAGCTAGAGCCTTGTTGAACAAGGGGTAAGGGCAGAGCTTGCTGACCAATGTTTTTCCCACCTGGAAGGTTCGGCATCGTCAAACGAGACAGGCCCTTCTACCGGCATGTCCGGCGCGGTGGAGCTCGAAAAACATCCCCTTATTCCTCCATCGGAGAAAAAGACCCGACGTGCGAAGTCAGATGATAGGGGCAAACATGAAACGAGCAAGGAGAGCAACGAGTCTGGCAATGGCCCTAGCTCCCATGGCGGCGGATAACAGCGCGAGCCGGCGCCAGGATCTTGCGGATCCTCGAAGGGCGTCGAGCGTTGACCAACCTGTTGGTGACCGTGTAGTTGCGCTCGAACAAGAAGAGCTGATCTCTCTTCAGAGCGTGCGCGAGAACGTTGTTCGGGATCCTGCCAAAGAGACAGCACTGCAGGAGAAGTGCTTCCAGTTCCTCAAGGTCGCGGTCCGCTGTGATGGCCTGGAGAGCATTGTCGTAGGCCCACCAAGTCTTGCCCCCCTCGGGCTTAAAGGTGTGCTCCTCGATCCATTTCGTGATCAAGTCCCTGTCCTGAGCCGGGAGGTCTCGAGGGACGAATTCGCGGGCCAGAGCCCTCATCTCGGCGATCTCGTCGCCAGTCAGAAGCCGGCGGTCGGCGTCAGTGAGGTCCGCGAATTTGGGGGGAATGCAGTATAGCTTGCCGCCAACCTCGCGGAAAACATTCTGCCAGCGATGGCGGTCGTGGGAAGGATGGCCCATTCCTGGGATGACGAGTTCGGGCATCTTGAAGTTTGTGATCTTGATTCTGATCGAGGTGGTGATGAGGTGAGGGAATGGGATCTTGGGGAAATATCCGAGAAAACGACAAGAGGGGGGCGGGAAGAGAGTTGTCGGAGGCAAACAGGCTGGAGAAGAAGCGCTGCCTTAACTACATAAGTAAGGTAGTCGGCAAGGTTTGGGATTTGATGCTGGTCCAGACGAGGTAAGAGTGTGGTTAGGTGAGACTCAGAAGGGCATTCGGAAGGCTCTCACTTTCGATCCTTTTCAGAAAGGACTTGCCTCTTTCTTTCTTTCTTCTTTTTGTCTTTTTTTTTTATCTTTCCCCCCCCCGGATTCCACCACAACTTTTGACTGCTGGGGATGTTTGAACTCACTGCCAACTCTGATCACTTGTTGAAGGTTCCAAATTTATTTACTTTAGTCTTGCCTATTAGAAATGGTTCATTCACTTTCACCACACTCACACTGACTGGTCCTTCAGGGCATTCCTTTCCTTGAGCATCTGGTACACCTCTGGAGCACCCCGAGTCTCGAGTGAGGCAAAGCCCTGGATCACGCCCTGCCTGTCACCGCCCCTCTTCTCCTGGCTCATCTTGAACTTGCCTTCCATCCTGTCGATGGTGATCTCGATCCCGATGATGTTCTTCTTCATGAATTCGAGGTACTTGTCGGGCGCGTCCGAAAGCTTCCAGTCCGCCTGCGCACCGCCGACGCCGGTGTAGCCCATGATCTTCGTCTCGCTCTGGTAACTGAGAGCGGAGGTCTGCTCTTGGAGGAAGTCTGACTTCTCTTCCGACTTGGAGTCGTGGAAGATCTTGGCCCGCCCGTAGACCTGCACGGCGGCATAGTCCCAGGTCGGCACTACCTTGCCGGTCGATGGCTTGGTCTCGGCGTAGAACTTGGGCGTGACGTAGTGGTCTGCCGACGTAAAGACCACGAGGACGTCCTGCTCCAGCACGTTGTCTGGGCTCTCCTGGACGGACTCGATCATCGCTTTGCTCTGCGGGTTCTGCTTGGCGAGGTGGCCTCTCAGACGGCCCAGCTCGGTCTGGCTGGACTCGTCATCGACGTCGAGCACAAAGGGGATGTGGCTCATCTGCAAGTGAGGGTGGTTCGCCGAGGGTATCCCGGTGATGAGCGCGCCGAGAGGATAGTCGCGAACGAGTTTGCGAAGGACCCGGAGGTCCTTCTCCTGGTGCGCGGGATCGAAATACATCGTGCCTTGGGATCCTCGTGGTGATGATGCCCGGAGTGCTCGATAAATTCCTGGGTGGACTGCCAGAACTTATACACGCCCGAGCCAGAAGTCCCGTCGGAGCAAAACCGTTGATTTCAAATGCGGGCTGAGTGACTCGACAACGGGATATGGACGGTGTCGAATCAAAGCACGATCCGCTGCCGTAGCTGCATCTAGCGCCTGCCGTCGTCTTGGCTGGTGGGGCCGCGATCTAGATATCTCCACGGGCAGAGATGACTCAGTAAGTCCACCAACAGAACCAGCACTGGTCCGTACTGTATGCAACTGCGCGGCGAGATAGTCGACAGAATCGACACTTGAAAACTCAGAACATCGTTTGTCCAACTCATCAGTCACTCAGCTTGCTTAGTACCCGTGCAATGGAATCCGCAAAGACAAAACTCCAAGGGCGAGAGTGGAGGAAAGACCAGTACCTGATCTCCACCGACTCTAGTCTCGTCCCGATTGCAAAGCTCATCGACATCTTCAATTCAGAAGGGTTCTACTGGTCAAAGGCCTTACCAGCCCCGGCAATGCAGGAAATGCTTGACAATTCCCTGTGCTTTGGCTTGTACGAACAGGCCGAACCCATTGGCCCAAGCAATGCCACCCCGGAGCTCAAGTTTCTCGGCATCGCCCGCCTGGTGACAGACTACATCACGTTCGCGTACCTGACGGACGTGTGGGTGGAACCGTCGTGTCAAGGGAACGGCCTGGGCAGCTGGATGGTCCGGTGCATCGACGAGGTGCTGGAGACCATGCCGCATCTCCGACGTTGCCTGCTCTTCACCGGCGACTGGCAGCGCTCGGTCCCATTCTACGACAAGCTTCTGAGAGCTAAGTTGGTCGAGACGCGGAAGGGAGAGGGCTTGGCGATCATGGAGAGGAAGGGCAGAGGGCATCCGACATTCAACAAAGAAGGAACCGGGTACAATTGAAAGCCGGTTCGACCATATGGAATTACATGTATCGACGGGTTTGCTACAGCGTGGTGCAAATAGATGAGCTGATCCTAGACCTGGCTTATCCCAATTAGGAATGTTTTTTCGAAACCAATTAGGAATGTTTTTTCGAAGCTTCCAAGCGCCCGGCGGTGTCCGCTGGCGACATGCCACCCACTTAGGGCGACTCAAGCTAGACATCGTGTATAATGATTCCGTCGGTGTATGCGCCTACCAATTCTCCAAGGCTAATATCAAAAGACATGGACACTTGGGTGCCAGCGAAACGGCAATATCCTCCACGGGCGGGCCAGCCGGGTGACGCCAGTTCTCGATGGAGATTCGGGGGTGTGACGGGATTCGCGCTGGGCTCCGTGGGGCCGACGATCGCGGCGCCGACCTTGGCTGACTTGTGAACATATGTGCTAACGAAAGCACATCCTTCACGGATTTGGGATGACTGCAAACTAGGACTTCCGATGATGATCTACCTCATCATCCCCATCCATTCTCAGGAGGTCTCTATTAACACTTCATGTATGCTTGAAGCTACCGATGGACTGTATTATATATCGCTGCATTTGCCATAGTCCTTCTGACACCCATTCATCCGCCAGCAATGCTCAGTCGTATTCCCACAGTGTCCGCTATGGCGTCCTTTGATCAGCATATGCTCCCCCTAATTCATCCCCCGTGAAGTTGTCAACTTACTACTGCGAGCAGCAGATCAACGAGTCAGCCGGGCACCGGTAGCCGTAGACCCCGTCTCCCGTCTTGCCGCACGTGTTGTCCGGCGAGACGGTCACGCCGTCCCTGGGCGCGTAGCAGGCGTTGCTCCCCGGCGCGGCGTAGTCGGGCTGGCAGCCGAGCGACGTCAGGCAGTAGTCGTCGCCCGAGCCGCAGTAGCCGTGGCCGGAGCAGCACCGCTGGTCGAAGGGGCAGAAGTACTCGCCTCCCGGTTGCGCGCCGCAGGTCCCGTCGGGGGAGACCTGCTTCTGCGGCGCTCGGGTGTCTAGAGACGCGGGGAGCGCGGCGGGAGGATGGGCTGTCGCGGCGCTGAACAGACTGGCCGGGATGGCGGCGAGGAGGAGGTATGTGACGATCATTGTGGATGTGTTGAGCGAGTTGGAGCTTACTGCAAATATTGGTGAATTTGTTGGGCGTGATGTAGTTGATATATCCAAGCCAGAGACGCTTTGGGTAACCCGTATCGCCGGTCAGCGTTTGCACCGCGGACCAGGAAGCGCACTCATGAGAGTCCCAAGTGACCAATAGTAGTGAGAAGACACGTACTTTACGTTCAGTTATTGTTTTTCTGTATGAGACCTCGACCCAGGTAGCCGGAGATTAAAGTTACATCGTGTGCTTTTCGAATCATCAACGAAGCACATTCTCCCGTTGGTCCCGGAAGCTGTACTACTAGAAGGGTGATTAACGCCGAGCAGCACGAATCTGCAGCGCCTGCTCCGAGTATCACTGGAATACCGTTTCATCCATGAGCCGCAACCCACGGGTCACTCGGGTCGAGATCCACGACAGCAAAGCCGAGGCTGTTGTGCCACATGGACTATCGTCTGAATCCATCCATTCATGTTCTCTTGGGCTTCATCCAAACTCTCTCACACCTTTGCATATCGACTCTTCCCCCGAATGGATTTTCCATACTTGAAAAAGAGATAGGGGAATGGCATCATCGCCACAGTCAGGAAGGCCACCAACGAGGATGCCCATTGGAAGCCTAGGCCCTCATACATTTGATTCCCAAAGAGCGGGAAGATTCCTGCAAGGAATTTAGCCAATTAGAATAGGTTCTTCGATGTTCATTTGCAACGGCTGGACTTACCTGCGAACAAGCAACGCACAAAAGCGTTGGCGGCCAGTGCACTCGCTGCGTACTCGGGGTAGGCATCGACCTATGAACCGTTAGTACCCCTATATCGAGTAACTGGGACATCAAATATGCGACATACAAGGAAGGTGAAGATCCCAATAAATATCAAAATGTTACTGAAAGGTCCATGTAAGTCAGTTTACACTCGCGAAACATTGGATGAATCTGACTCACCCAGTGCCAAATAGCAGCGAGCCGATGATGGGGACGATCCAGTGTATGCTCGGATACGAGGTCCACGCGAACAGAAACAGGCCGATGGGAGCAATGAAGGCACCGAGGATTGCAGGGGGTAGTCTGAACTCTGGTTCTCCGTGCCCTGACTTGGACGACTCGCCATCCATCTTGCTGATGAGACGGGTCCGGACGCGGTGCCACACGGGATCGGTGGAAACTCCGAGGATCAGTCCGCAACCAATTCCCAGGAACGACAGGCCTATCTGCCAGAGATTGAAACCGTGGTTCGTGCTGAAGATCAACGGGAAAGCACCGAAAAAGAGGTAGAGGATGCCGAGGAGGATAGCCGAGTACATGCAAAGACTCAAGCACATGGGCTCGAAGATGAGAAGTTGAAATGGCCGCAACAGAGACAATGCAACTGTCCGGTGGATGGATTTTGTCGAAAGCTCCATCGGCGCCCTCCAGCGGTCGTCGCCGGTGGTATTGCGCACTTGTCGGGCTTTATTTCGGAGTAAGATAGGGTCTGATGAGGTTAGCCAGCCACATGCGGACTTGACAAAAAGGCCAAGATAACTCACGGTATGTCTCCGGGACCAGGAGAGTGATAGCCAACAGCATACTACCCGCCCAGATCAAGAGCACATAGTACGTCCACCTCCAATGTACATTGTAGTTGATGAAACCGCCAATCAGAGGTCCGATGCAAGGACCAAGGAATGGCGAGACCGAGAAAACAGCCATTGGGAACGATAGTTCCCGTTTTGAGAACAAATCTCCAACAGTCCCGCCCGAGACGGCCAGGAAAGTACCCCCGGAGAATCCGTTCAGAAACCGGGCAACGAGCATGGTTTCGATGTTGCGAGCTACCGCCTGCGGCACGAGCCAGATCACATACATCGTCCACGACACCAAGTAGATGGGACGTCGACCGTAGAACTCGCTCAATGGGCTGAAGAGCATCGGGCCACAAGCCATGCCGAAAACGAACAGTGTCAGGCCCAGCACTGAGACGATCCTGGAGTTTCCAAACTCGGCTTCCATATGGCTGTATGTCGACGTATATATGGAACTGGATGCGGTTCTACGAGTCTCAATCTTTTAGTAAGACGATTTCAACAAGTACCTCTCTGCATCGGTTCGGGGGTGCACTCACACGCAGAGAGTCGTCAGGCATACAATAAAGACCATCGCCCATTTTCGAGCCGTGCCGAAGCTGCGGGGGCACAGCGGATCATTGTCGCCATCATCCCACCCGACTATGTAGGTCTCTGGCACTGATCCGGTGGAAGAAGCCGAGTCGGATGCATCCTGAGCATTGTTCTCGATATCTCGCAAAGACAAGCTGGGGTCTTCAGCAAGAGTTGAGTTGTCTGGAGTAGATGTGTTCTTCACATACGTCTTTTCTTCCTGTTCCAAGTCCTTTGGCTCTGGTGTCGATCTTTCAATTTCCAACATCATGACGAACTCTCCCCCCTTCTTTTTGCCGGCAGCAGTATGGTCACGGATCGGGGAAGGGGTAATGCGCCTCGTCTGGTTGGGCTACTTTCCAAGGAACCAAATCATATCCAAGGTCTAAATATCACATCAGCGGATACTCGCACGAACTGCCAAGTAGAGATTGCTTCCTCGAGACCGTGAGTCAACAGTCGGTGGGGAAACTTGCATGGGTTCCAAAGCCCATCTCGGCCGAGTTGATATATGGGGAGTGGGGCATGGCCTCTTGCCGAGATCGCAACGCATGGTCTGGCAGAAGTTGCACTTTTGTCGGAAGGGATCGGCCTGGGTTCTCACCGGCCGGGTCGTGAACTAGTACGGCGACGATCCGATTCGCACAAGTGCTGTTGTTGAGAGCGTAGAGCGTTATCTGGACCACCTGGTTGGCTTGAGACCAGATCCGATGCATGAGTAGTGCTAGTCGATGGACTCGCATAAGTTTGCATAAGCTGTGGATGGGTCCGAACAGATGA